TTTAATATCAGCGTGTTCTTGATGCCCTATTCCCTTCGGTACTTGGTGGTACTTGTGCCATACCTGGTGCATTTGGCTGTGGGAAGACAGTGATTAGTCAAGCCCTTTCCAAGGTGAGCCTTAATTGATTGATTTAAATGTGGACTGTTTCTCGCTGATGCCTTTATGCTTCTTTAGCTACATTCTTATTTGAATGGTTTGTCTCAATATATGAGTGCAGTACTCAAACTCAGACACTGTCGTGTATGTTGGTTGTGGTGAAAGAGGAAATGAAATGGCAGAGGTATACAATTTTTGCTGAACCTCTTAGTTTTTACTTGCACCAGTGTGTTTCCTCTCTTTCTCTTACATGATTTCTTTAACCTAAATGCTTAATTTTAGGTGCTCATGGATTTCCCTCAACTTACAATGACACTGCCTGATGGCCGTGAGGAGTCTGTCATGAAGCGCACTACACTTGTTGCTAATACTTCTAATATGCCCGTGGCTGCTCGTGAGGCTTCCATTTATACAGGTGAATTTAGTTACTTACCCTTATAATATGCCCTTGGCTAAGTTCCTTTGCTAGAAGTTCTGTTTTATTTATTCATCATCTACAATATGGCACTTGCTTTTCTATTTTGTATTACTACTGCAGTCCAGTATGGCTAAATCAGATAGGCCTTTTTTGTTACTCATCTATGTGTACTTGGGTTGCACTACCCTGGTGCTTTGAATATGATTACTTGTCAAAAAATGTACGGAGTATATGAAATAGAAAGTTATCCTTTTAGGTACTAATTAGCAGCGTTGTGTTCAATGTTGTTCCAGGGATTACTATAGCTGAATATTTCAGAGACATGGGGTATAATGTGAGTATGATGGCAGATTCTACTTCTCGCTGGGCAGAAGCATTGCGTGAAATTTCTGGAAGACTGGTAAGTCCAATATTAGTTTTGCAAAATATATTAAGTGGCAATTGTTTTATCAAAGCACTCTGTGCAAATTCAGGGGCTCATTCATCAGTTTACTGATCCAGAGCAAGCATATAGGTGTTGATGGTTGACCTTTGCCGAAAAGTTAAACTAGCCACTGAAACTTGCCCTAATAAAACTTAGAAGAAAATTATACATATTAGGGTTTCCATAAACTTTGGGGCATTGCCTGTAGGTGATTACAAAGAATTTTATGATAAATAGAGATTTATGCCTAATTAAGCTTCTCTTGAAACATACCTTGTGCTTCTTATTCAGGCTGAGATGCCGGCAGATAGTGGTTACCCTGCTTATCTGGCAGCACGTCTTGCATCTTTCTATGAGCGTGCTGGTAAAGTTAAATGTCTTGGTGGACCTGAAAGATCTGGGAGTGTCACAATTGTTGGTGCAGTTTCTCCCCCTGGAGGGGATTTCTCAGATCCTGTTACATCTGCAACCCTTGGTATTGTTCAGGTAAATACAAACAATGCCATCTATTTTTAGGGGGCAAAATAGGGATTTCTGACATATACTTTTCAGGTTTTTTGGGGTCTGGACAAGAAATTGGCACAAAGAAAGCATTTTCCTTCTGTAAATTGGCTGATTTCCTACTCAAAGTACTCAGGGGTGCGTTTTCTATTTGCTTTTAGCATATGCATAATTTCAGTAAAATCTAAACTAGCCTTTTCCTTGGATCATTATGCTTATTGAGAAAGCATTGCACCGTGTTTGTTTTAACTTGCCCAGGCACTGGAGTCCTTTTATGAAAAGTTTGATCCTGATTTCATTAACATAAGAACAAAAGCTCGAGAGGTTCTGCAGAGGGAGGATGACCTAAATGAAATTGTGCAAGTACGTACTTTTACTAATTTCTTGCCATCCATTTTGCTTCATCTTTTGAAACTTCTAGGAATATAAGATGATACTGAGAGTTTATCACAAAATCAGAATATTGAAGTGTTGCTGATCTCTTTTATTTGTTGTAGTGGAATTTCTTAACGCTATTATTAGTTTGACATTAATTCATTAAATTTTGAATTCATTCTGCCTTTGGTTCCTCAAAGTATAGTGGTACTTCCACTTAATAAGTTTGTTTGGCAACCATGATAAGCTAGCTTATAGAATTATGAGAAGCTAACTTTTGGCTTTTAGAGCCATTTGCTAAGCAAGTTTTTCAAAAAATTTCAGTTACCCTTAAGTTTTTGTACAAATGACATTTTATTTGTTATCCCATTTCCACCACTACAGGTTACAGCTATCTTTACATTTTTATCTCTTTTTTTTTCCTACTATCATTTTTTTCTTTTTCAAGCAAAATTATACTATTAAAATAAAAATAGTTATAATAAGTGTGTGTGATCTACAAGATTGTAGATACATATTTCTTTGAGAATTTTAGATTAGATTAACTTGTTGCAAAGTAGTATGCTTTTAGAAGAGTGGGAGGTGGAGTTTCCAAGGATCAAAATCTTCAACTATGGAGATTTGAGAGATTTAGGAATAAAATAAAATGACAAAAATACAGTCCAAATTTTGATTTATTTAAATTTTCTGTCCAAATTCAGTGGTAGGTCCAAAAGTGTCCAAACCATTACAGTTGAGAGATTTGTCCGACTTTGACTCCAAGGCTAAAAGAGGATTTATCAATATAATTGACAAAAAGTGTTTCTCTGCAGTTTTTTTTTTTTTTTTTTTTCTTTTCATGTTCATAAATGCTAACCCTTTTATTTATTTACTCCTGTATAAATTAATGTAGAGAAAATAGCTTCCCCTCCTTCTCTGATATTTTTTAAGGCACATCACAATCGCATTCTGGGAACACCATCAGTCTGTTTCTTTGTAAAGTTTCTCTTCACAGGATCTAGTATTGTTGCCCCTTCCCTCTCCACCACCCAAAGGGGGAATAACAGGGTGAAATGAAACAGAGTAATGAATCAAATTTAATGTGACTATTTTTCTCATGGCAGCTTGTTGGAAAGGATGCTTTAGCTGAAACCGATAAAATTACCCTTGAAACTGCCAAGCTGCTGAGGGAAGACTACCTTGCACAAAATGCTTTTACACCGTGAGTCCCTATTATAGTATGTGATGCTTTTACTTCAAGAGTTGATGTAGTCACCTCATTGTTGTTTTTTGGTGACAGATATGATAAATTCTGCCCCTTCTACAAGTCTGTTTGGATGTTGCGCAACATTATACACTTCTACAACTTGGCAAATCAGGTATGAACACTATTTTCAATTACATTTCTTCTTCTTGGGCAGTTGGTGGGTTGTACACTTGTACTGTTGAAGACAATTCAGAGAGTTCATCTTTACTACTGCTTGAGGACATTATTTTTGTGCAGCAAATGAACCACTTTTTAACCTTAGAGAATACCCAACTAGATATACAAAAAGGTTATCCTTTGTGCAACTAAAGTCTTGAGTTTGATTATTAATCTATTCTCAGACGTGCAATTTTCTGACTCGAATTGGTGCATTTTTATTGTTTTCAATAGGAATAGTAAACTGTTACTTTTGACCCTTAACATTTAGCATGGTCTTTTGCACAGGCTGTCGAGCGAGGAGCTGGTATGGATGGTCAAAAGATCACTTATAGTTTGATTAAGCACCGCCTTGGAGATCTGTTCTACCGTTTGGTGTAAGTAAAATATCTCAGCCAATGGCGTGACCTCGACTAAATTACACCTCAACGCTACACATTTGTCCCTATCAGTATCTGGTCATAATCACCTATCTATTTTTTATTCTGTGATTGTGCAGGTCTCAAAAATTTGAGGACCCTGCTGAAGGAGAAGATGTCTTGGTGGCCAAGTTCAAAAAGCTTCACGATGATTTGATTGCTGGCTTCCGTAACCTTGAAGATGAAACTCGATGAATGCCATGTGACACCCACGTATTCGGATAATTCGGGTTGTCTATACATGAAGCAAAAAGTGAGTTTTTTTTCTTGTATTAGCATATTGCATCAATCAGGGATTTCGATGCATGCCTCTCTGGTCCACAATCCTGGTAGAACAGGAGAATTAAGACACGGAAGAAGAAGAAGAAACAGTGCTTGTTTGGCAGTTCCACATTTTGTGTTAGCTTTTTCTGTATGTAGCTTGGTGAGTCCATTTTTTTGCCGTTAATTAAAAGAAATAAGAGGTGCCACCTAGGTATATTTATTTATTTATTGTATTTGCTGGTCTTCACTCTTCATCACCGGGTCTTAAAGATTTGAACTGTAATTGATATTTTCTTATCCCTGTCCTAATAATTCGTGTATTACAACTTGAAATTCACTACGGGGTTCCCTTTTGTTTATCAGATTCTTCTATTATTGTGGAATGTGTTTTGTATTTTTTATTTATCTATTGTTCTCTGATGTCTTGTCCCATGCTTACTAGAAGGAACAAAGTGAAATAAAATTTTGTTAATGTTATTATTGACTAAATTTTTTATTATCCCAAAAGGAAAAAAAAAAAAAAAAAAAAAAAAAAAAAAAACCCTGAACTTGATTAATTGGTTATGAGGTGAGATGGTTGGAGTAGGTGTGTACACCATTAAATAAAAAAAAAAAAGTATATTATTTGAGTATTGAAAGAATATTATTTTGTGTACTATCAAAATAAATTTGAGGTGAGATGGTCCTTGCGGGGAATTGCAATAAATTTGTTTATATCACACAATGATCCTTAATGACATGATTTGATTTTCTCGAATTAACTTCAATTTCTACACTAATTTTTATATCGATCGAATATTTATCTCCTATTTACACTTGATTTAAGTAAGGATATCAATGGTAGCTTTTTCCCAAAAATAAATAAATACATAAATCCAAATAGACCTCCGAAAATCAAATAACACATGCTTGGCAGGTTAGAATGCCACTGCTTGTTTTATTTGCCATCGATATTTATACGAGGTCGGATCGGCATTTTGCCTGCAGCAATGCTGATAAAAAATATGACACTTTATTCTGGTATAATACAATTGGCATTAGACTGTAAATTCATTGTGTCATTGTAGACAGTAAAAAGACAAATACATAGAACTACAATTAAATAACCAGAGTAGATAATTTATTTTAATGTCATTTTATATCATGGGGGATTTAGTAATTCTACAGAAGGAATTTAACCAGAAAATTAAATAATTTACAATGTTATAAAGAAAGGGGAAAGACAGTAAAGTCGAATGAACAATACAAAGCCACCATGGCAAATTGGCTATAGCAGTTGGTATATTTACAGGTGTGTATCTTCCATCGTGAAACAGAGCCCTCCAAGTGAAGCATAAATGTACAGACCGCTTGTACCAGCAGTCCTAATAAAATAACATTAGGGGATATTTTTAGTTTATTTTCCAAATAAAGAAGCAACATCACCAAAGCAATGAACCAAAAGGCCCCCTCAAATCCTCAATTATTTCAATTGAGCTTTTGTAAAGAAACCATACCATAATGATCTAATAAATGGATGCCTACACTATAATGTGCTTGTACTAATAACTAAAAAGGGGGTCCTTGTGGGGAGTATGAAATTCAGAAACACTAAAACACCCATTTGTGGTTTGTAGCACATGAAATGAAATTGTACAATCTCCAACACAACTAGAAGAACCAGTCAGCATAATTTGTAAGTAAAGTGGGAATCAAGTTGGCTATAAGTAAAAATCAAAATTTAACTCACCTCAGACAACAATTAAGTCAAAGGTAAGGTCTATCATTTTTCTTCCTCATCCTTAGAGGTGCTTTTGGGGTCAGCATGTGTTTCTGTTCAATAAAACCAGGCAACAGTTAGTTTATTAACAAACCAATGTGCTAATTTGACTATTCATAAATCATAATTCATGTCAGATCAAAAGCATTCAGTGGAAACTGTGATTGCTCATTCTCATCACTCACAAACACAACATGACAAAAACAGGATATCAGTCTATTACTTTTAGATACAGTAGAAAATACTCAAACCATGAATATAGAACTTGATCTTGCACTCTTGCAGCCAAATGCTTGCAGATAACTTTCCAAAACAAGGGAATGGCAATCCAAGAGAAATACTTACCCCGACATTTATTTTTGAAAAAAAAAAAAAAAAAAAAAAGACTAGTCTAAACAGTGTGCATTCATGCCAGACCAAAATCATTACCAGAAAATATCAGACAGGATTGCTCACTCTCATTATCCACTGACATCATTCAGAAGAAATGAAAATGTACAACATGAACACATTATGATCTTTGACACAAAATTTTTCTCCAAAAACAATCCTGACATCAAAATTTACAACTTATATTAAAGATAAAAGTAAAAATTCCAAATCCTACGAGCTTTCAAATCACAATTAGCTTATGAACAAAACATTAAGGTAAATATACCCCGCACATGGCTCTGAAATTGCTAATAATCAACGCCAATAGAAGCTATGGCCTATGTGATGGTGGTGCGCACAAAATCATAATTTGCGTTCACTTCTCCTCGATGACACATACACGCACGCACGCACGCTAACGTGCTTGTATACATAAACGCAAGCATAATTCCTATGCCACGATCATTTACCTAATTAAATGACTAGCATGGCTGGCCAAAACTTATAACATATAAGGTTTAGGTAAAAGATATATATATATATACCGTCTACAAAAAAAGAGGACGACGGCCAGCCACGATCAGTGGTGAGGGCCATAACCTCTTCTTCGGAAAGTGAATTGGACAGCTTATGAACAAGGTCGGCAATACCGTACGAACCGCGACGCGGTGGAACCCAATAAGATGCACCGGGAACAAACGGGAGCCAATCGGGAGCGGATCGGCGGACTATGATACGGTGGATGGCGTCCTCGATTCGCTGCACCGCCACTGCATCCGCCTCGGAGACGTCGCCGGACGCATTCTTAACGGAGCTGTCGGGATGGCTCGAAACGCTCCGCGAGGACGTCAGACGAATTGAATTAACGACCGCCGATGACGACGATTTGGCGCCGGGAGGCAGGAAGGACGCGCCGGTTGCGGTTGCGCAATTCGATCGGATGAGATTTAGGGTTTGTGAGATGGAACGGGCCATGGAAAAATGGAGATGAAGGTGATTCTCGACCTGTACATATAGGGATAATACAGGTAGCTTCTGGGGATTGTGGGCCCGAAAGCGGACCCCACCGAGGCAAAAAGGATAGCAAATTGTTTGTTGTTTTTTTTTTTTTTTTTTGGTAAATGATAGCAAATTGTTAAGCTTTACGGATCCCAAATATAAACAAATTAGTCAAAAGTGATGGATCATAATTTTCATGTTAAAAGAAAAAAAAGAAAATATCTTGTGGAAGGTTTATAGACTATTATATGAGAACGAGATTCATTGAGTAGAATTCAGTGAGGCAAAAGGATAGTAAATTGTTATGCATATATGGTCATATGATATCAAATATAAACAAATTAGTCAAGAATTGATCAAGTGGGTGGATCATAAATCTTGTATTAAAATATTTTGCCGTGGTTTATGAGGTATTAGATCTATATTTTAGGCACATTATAATTCATTCCACATCTCCCTTTATTCTTAGAAATATTACCATTTACTATTCTTATCCTGACTAATTGTGACTCTTTGTATCCTTATAAATAGTCTATTCATGTATACGGTACAATTTCAGAGTATTCAATAACAATTTATTCTTCCATAATTATTATTCTCCTTAGATTTATTGTTATCATATGGTACCAGGCTATCAATAGACCTACAAGATCCATGGTTGCCAAGAAATAAACTGTCGTCACTATTGGAGACACTATGCCGTCACCATCAGCCAATGGCGTTGTGTCCTCCTCTCATACCTTCTCATATATATCCTCCACCCTTCCTCCACCAATAAATACCCTCCAATCAGTCCATTAATTTATGTCCATTAAACTAACTTCTTCTAATTATTTATTTTGGAAAACTCAGCTTGTTTCTTTTTTTCGCGGACAGAATCTCAGTGATTACGTTGATGGCACACTCCCGTGTTCAGCTTCCTTTGTTCAGGTTCGAATGGATCTTCCGTATTAGGCAATCCTGCAACTCAAAATTGGGTTCGTCAGGGTTAATCTATTTTGGCCATGTTAATATAGTCTTTATCCGATGAAGTTATATATGTTGTTGTAGGACATACCATGTCCCGAGCCGTGTTGCTAGCTATTGAAGCTACTTTTGGATCCTCCTCTAAGGCACGTTCTCTGAGTCTCCTTAGTCAGGTGCAATCTTTAAGATAGGGAGACTATACGACGAGTGAGTATCTTGGCAAAACCAAGGTTTTAATTAGACTACTGGTCGAAGATGGCTGGCCAATTGGATTAGATTAATAAAATCTCTATTTGTTCAAGGGCCCCCCCTTCTTGAGTTCCGCGCAATGGTTTCCTCATTAACCATGATGGAACCTGTTAACATTGATCAACTCAATGACTATCTAATTGCACATCAATTTATCTATGCGGATGATGTTTCTCTGGCTGCTCCAGCTGCGCCATCAGCTCTTGTTGCACAAGGAAAGCCAACCACTACCAATCCATAGCAACAGCCTTTCACTCAACCTGCGTGGCCATGGTTATGTTCCAAAGTATCATATCTGCAACAAACTTGGTCATACTACTCTGCAGTGTTACTGGATATACTCAGATACTCCTATTCCTTAAACAAATCTAATCTATGCGGGTGATCTGACCGCTACTCCGTTTCTCAGAACCGACTTTCTGATACTGGGGCTACACATCATGCCACTCCAGATTCCTCTTCTTTGCATAAGTAGAAATCTATACGGGCAACGACACTCTTTGAGTCGGCAATGGTACATGTTTGAATTTTTATAGTATTGAAAACATTTCTATATCCTCTACCTCACGTTCCCTTCAGTTACAAAATATTTTACATGTTCCCCATAGCACAAGAAAAATGTTACTCTCTTTGTTTCATTTTACCTATTTTATATATAATTCATTGGTCAAATCAACTATATATTCTTTAGTACAAGTATTTTTTTTTAATTATTCTTGGACTGGATTTTGATTTGTGGGCCAAAACTGGGCCATGGACCAACTGTGGACGGACCAAGTTTAGATTATACCAAGCCCAATCCCATTCATGATTCAATTCAAGCAACAAAACTAGTGTGACAGTGTGAAATCCACAAAGGGAGGGTGAAAGGACAGTTGGGTTAGTTAAAAAGGACAGTTTGGCAACCTTTGATTTTCATTATCATGTGTTAGGTGACACATTGGGTGGTGCCAAGTTGCCAAACAACCCAATTCCTTTATTACAAATGTTGTATGTCAATTTTTCACCACCCTATTTGTGTATGCTTCCTTGCCCCTCTCAAATTCTCCAAAGGATGTCCTCACTTCCTATCAATATACTAAAACTTCTCTGTATTTCAACTCATGCGTGCATTGCTCTAACTTCATTTGCAACAAACCTAATATTGTCTTGATGGGGACTTGTTTTATGTGTCATCACTCTTCGTATTTGAGATTCATGGGAACCACTTGTCTCTTCAATGACTCAATACAGTACTTGATCTTTGTTAGTTGTTGACCGTTTATGACATTGGTTTTGGGTATTCGAGGATTGGTTGATTTGATTACTAGTGAGTCTAATGAAACCAAATCAAATAACATAATGTATTGCACAAATTAAATAAAGTTACTTTCAAAAAATAGTGACACCTGTGATGAGAATCACTTACGTCTTGGTTTACAACTTTATATTGATGACTCACCAATTGATCTTTAGCGCTATTGAAGTTGTCTTGGACGAGATTTATGTAATGTGATTACTGTGTTTTTTGTTTCATTGAATAATAATATTAAATGAGATTATAACAAAGTTCTACCCAAAAATCTAAGCTTATCTATGATCTATCCAAGTCTTGTCATGATTAACTTGAACTCAAATTGCTCCAGTCATATCATTAATCGTGGGTTAGCCTTTATATATGCTCGACACAACTATAGTCTCACGACCCCATCTTGTTTCTTTGAATTAAGAAATAACCTATGCACTTAATCTAATATCTCAAAATATCTAGTCCCACCAAGTTATAAATTAAAATTAAAACTACAAATTGAATAAATAGATATTGTTATAACTCATTATTTCAACCAAATATCTTATTTACATATATGTGGAATTGAACACATATGGTTGATGAACAACATCATGAGACATCAACTAACATGGCGTTTGGTTGGAGGGATTTTAAATTCCCTTCCCACTTAATTCCCACCTAATTCCAAAGACCATTAAATTCCGTAGTTTGGTTGGAGGGAATTGCAATTCCATGGAATTGCAATTCCCCCATTTTCATGGAAATAAAATTCCATGTCCCCCCTGGTATTTTAATTCCTGGGAAAAAAAGATAGTGATGAGTCAAAATTACCTCTTCCTTTTTAACCTAAAATTAATGTCTAACAACAATAATGGAAATTTTTGACTTTATACTACTTATTCCCTTTCAATTCCCATGTATACCAAACATTGGAATTGAAATTCCCAGTAATTTTATTCCTGTCAACCAAACACTGAAATTTAAATTCCCACTTTATTCCCAGTAATTCAACTCCCATGGAATTACAATTCCTTTCCCACATAATTCCCTCCCTCCAACCAAACGCCCGGTAAAGGCTGCAGTTGCAATGACACTAAATGAGAAGAAGACAAAGGTGTATTCCAAATCAAGAATGCAAGATTATGTAGTATGTATTGGATTATTATTATTATTATTATTATTATTATTATTATTATTATTATTATCATAACATTTTTTTTTTGGTGAAACTGCTTAATGCTCTGTTAGTCTTCACGTGCCAATATTATATTATATTTTATTATTTAAATTTAAAATACATAATTGCTATCAAACACCTTGTGTTCAGATGACATGTAGTGACATTTCCCATGTGGGAGGTCATGAGATTGAATCTTAGTGGAGATGTTGTTGACTCCATGTGCTTTATTAGGTTGAGATACTAAAATGTAATTGAGTGATTGCTATTTTAAAAATTAACATTTTATTTTTTTACTATTTATTTCCTTACGACTAACTCCCTAGTAACCAAACACTCAAAATTAACATTTTTACAAATTATATTCAACCAATGAAATTTGAATTCATTTTTTATTCTCATATCAGGCATGGAACGATAAAGAATGTCATTGATGCGAAATTTATGGATAATTTACAACCGTTTCAATTTTATTTATTTTTTTTTTTTTGAAAGGAAGAAAATTATGTAGTTCACATGTACAAACATGCACGGGCGAACTACATGCTATCAAAGTAACATGCTAATGCGCGAGAAATGATATATGTTCTTTGCTAGGTGCAACTACTTTTGTAGCTTTTATTTGTGCGTGTGTGTATAGTTATGATCATATGAGAATAATGTTTCTTGTAAAAAATGCGAAATAATCTCATTTGTTTATCTAAGTTGATTAATTGCTAGAAAATAAGGACAAATAAGAAGAAGAAGAAAAAGGAGCTGAGGTTACTTTCAAAGTTTGTAATATTTATGAAATTGACACAATATTTTTTTTTTCTTTTTACCTTATGTTTTAGTTGTTAACCAACTTATATTTTTTTAGCCGTTAATCAACCTTTCTCTTATTACAACTAAATGTGCAGTAACACAGTAATACCAAATAATATCATCATTTTAACCTTTCTCTTATTACAACTAAATGTGCAGTAACACAGTAATACCAAATAATAGCATCATTAACATGCTAAGGTACTTCCAATGTGTTAGAGCAACTCCAATGTTTGTTTGTTTGTGTTTTTTTTTTTTTTTTTTTTTTTTTTTTTTTTTTTTTTTTTTGGTAACAACTAGGAGAGATAATGGAAAGGAGAAGAAGAAAAAGAAAAGAAAATGAGAATGTTACCGTTTACGCGCCCATCGGGCGTATGCCGTGCACGTGCCCGCTATGTGCGATTGGAGTGTGAAACATGCACTAATAGAGTTCATTGTGTTTTTTATCCACTCAAAACCCCAAGAAACCTTACTATTGTGGTTGCTCTTAAAAGAGAAGAAAAAATTTATCCATTCAAGCAAAAAGATGTAAAATTAAACAAGTGATGTAGACTGAGAAGGAAATTTGATGCAAAGTACATATATACTCTACAACAACTCCATTTTTTTTTTTTTATATAAAGGAAGAAAATTAGGCGATTCACATGCACCAGAGAACTAGGCGCTATAAAAACAGCATGCTAACATGAAAAATGGAATTGAATCTACCATTTGCTAAGTGCAGCTGCATTTGTAGGTTTTTTTTTTTTTTTTTTTTTTTTTAGTGATGATAATATGAAGATCAAATAGATGAATATGTTGTTGATGATGTGGAGAAAAAAACTCCCATGTACAAGAAGCAATATTGTAAATGGCCTAAGTAGTAGTGTCATTGTAAGGAACAAAAAATATATCTCATAAGGAGGTGAGAACTCAATCAAGTATAATAAAAGTATAAATTACACTTTTATTAAACTTATACTCCGTATTATATATTAGATGGAGATTTAAAGGTCAGACATTGTGTTATTAATGGACATTATAACTGTGACGTTATCTATTAAACAAATAATAAGAAATAAAGTTAGCTTTTAATGTAGTAGCGAACGTTTGATTATCTAGTATACTAATGATATTGTATGTTTAATATTGCATCATAATATATATACTTCTTGATGTCAAACATTTGATTATTTAGTATATTCGAAAATAAAATTTACTACAGTATGAATACCATGAGAGATAATATACAGACCTAAACTTTTATCATCTAGACATCTAGCATGACTTTATATAATTAACTCTTTCTCCTTAAACGATGAATCTTCAACCCAAGTGTCCCACATACCCCGGTTCGACAGAATATTTAAAATAATGTAAATCACCGTGACTCAATGACTCAACAGACATGACCAAATGTCGATGCGCGCAAGAGATCTGCCCACTTTAAACATAATTTTCACAATGCCGCCACTAAGATTCGAACATTGTCACTTCTCCCAAATAATGCCTTACTGAATAAAAAATAATAATTAACTTGTTAACAAATTGACTAATTTATCACAATTGATAAATACATTTTATGTTTTTTTTTTCATTGAATAAATCAAATATATATTTAGTAAAAGATAGTTTAAATAGCATCTTGTTGGCTTGTTGCTTTGATTAGGGCATCCAAACTACCAAAAGGCTCAAACTTCAATATCAAATAGTAACAACAGGCTAAACAGCAGCGAATGTAAAAGTAACAAAAACCCCATCGCAGGAGGAGCTGAAGATTGTACTACGCCGTAGGTTTTTTGGCTTTTCACAGTTTCTTTTGTTTTTCTTAATTACTCTCTCCGTATCATATTCTTCACTCAGACAGTAATCTGTCACTTTCTTTCTCTCTATCTCTCGCTATCACTCACCGTCACTTTCTCAATTTCATCTCACTACAAATTTACTGGGTTATGATATACTATGTATTATTATATAATATACAAAATATCGGAGTGATTCTTTGTATATAAACCCTAATAATGATTTTTCCTTTGCTTGTTGGTTTATTATCTGGGCTGGTGGTTATTGCCGGACGAGACAACCCACCAGTTGTTGCGGGTTTCTGAAGATTCATAGAGAGAGAAAGAAAGAGAGATGTTGATGGGATCGCATTAGCTACTAGTACGAACAAACGGAGCCCCTGACAAGTAACATTTTCAAAAAGGTGCCTTCTACTCTCTTCAGATTTTTTGATCTGCATCTTTCTCAGGTGTGTACAAATAACCCAGATCTTTGCCTTTTTCCTTCTGCATAGTTTTCTTTGTGACATTTCTACATTGTTGTTAGTTGTTTGGGATAAGAATTGTGAAATGGGAATTGCTCCTGGTGGCTCCATTTGGGATAGAATGTGCTTAAAGGAGTGAGGTCTTTTTGGTAAGTACCCGGAAGGAGCTTAAGGAATGGACTTTTCTTCGGTTACCCTTAATGGAAAAATTGAATCTTGGGCATTTCCAAGGAGTGTGATGGGGATGTAACTTCTGTTGGTTTCGAGTTCTCTTTCTCAGAAAACTTGGGTTGTTTTTAATTATTTGGCTGTTCTGATCTTCTGATTTCAAATCATTTGAGCTCCATTTGGATTTTAAACCCCAGATTTGGTGCAGAGTTTATGAATTGATTATTTGTTTCAGATCTTAGTGCAAAGATCCAAGGATTCTAAAAGCCACCTTACTAAGTTTATGTGATCATACATTAGGTGTCGTTTGGAGTGCCTTCTATATGATGTGGATAAATGAGAGTGTAATCATCATCTAAAATCCTTCATCTGGTTAACATTCATTGAAAGATTTGGAGAACTTTAGGAGCTTTCCATTTACAGTCTCTCACTTTTATTTTACTTTCCCTGTTTACTGGTTCAAAGTTAAGGTGGATTTTTTATTTGGGCTTCTTTCTGGATGCTTAGTATCAACTTTGTCAGCCTTATCGTGAATGGTGACAATACAATCCTTCTCTCATCCTCTGGCTTACACTAGTTTAGCAATGATCTGGCTTTACTTGGTTATATTGGGGTTTCTTTATCCATTTTTTTCTTGCTTGAAGGATATTAAAAAAAAAAAAAAAAAAAACTCCACATGGCTTGTTGAGTTTGTTTCCTGCCTTGATATTGTTTGAAGATTTTCTTTATTAACAATGTAAAAGATTATGTTGTTGGACAAGGATTATTTGAATTATTTGCCTTTTCCTTTTAAGATCTTGTGCAATTTTTTTTTGTTTGTTTTGTGAATAGTACATTTCATATTTATTTTGCAATTAGGTGTTGTATCTGCAAGTTAGGTAGACAATTCACTTGGCTGGTAATGCTTGCCTTATTAATTAAAGTTGGTAGTTGTTCTCTTCTCCTACTCTTCCTAGTTTTCATATCAAAGTTTGCTATTATGAATCTTAACTTGTACGGAGTATTTTTCTTTCCCATTCGAGGATAATGAGATCCTGATATTATGCCTATGATCTCAAGTTTCTGTTTCTCACTTTGTAAGTTAGTGAATTTTTGACTCATGTGGATTCGTGAATGGGCCTTTATTGGTGTGTATTCTCTTCCATATATTTTTATGCTCCGGAAGAAATTTATCTGATCTCAGAGCGTTTGACCTGTAGTTCATAGTAAAAGTCTTTCAATTAATGTCCAAGATTTGAGGCCCATAAGATATATTTTGTTTATACTCGCAGGGTTTGCTTCATAAGGTAGCTTGATGGGTTCTAGATTCCCATCTCACCAGCTCAGCAATGGGCTCTATGTGTCGGGTCGGCCTGAACAGCCAAAAGAAAGACCCCCAACAATGAGTTCGGTGGCCATGCCCTATACTGGTGGTGACATCAAGAAGTCTGGAGAACTTGGAAAAATGTTTGACATTCCTATGGATGGGTCTAAGTCGAGAAAATCTGGGCCCATTTCTAATGCTCCTTCCAGAACTCATTCAGGGCCTATCAATCCTAACGCTGCTGCCAGGGCCAGTTACTCCTCGGGTCCTTTTTCTTCCACAATGGTGACTGGTTCGGCTTCAATGAAGAAATCCAATTCCGGGCCTCTTAATAAGCACGGGGAGCCTATGAAAAAGGTGTCGGGACCTCAATCTGGTGGAGCAACTGGACGCCAAAACTCAGGTCCTCAACCGCCAGTTCTCCCAGCAACTGGTCTGATCACTTCTGGTCCCATCTCTTCGGGCCCACTAAATTCTTCTGGGGCACCGAGAAAGGTCTCTGGTCCATTGGATTCGATGGGCTCTATGAAAATGCATGGTCCTTCTATTGCCAACAACCAAGCTGTGACAACTCTTACCCAACATGACGAGTTCTCCTTCAGAAAGAACTTCCCTAAACCTATATTGTGGGCAATGATTTTGCTATTTCTCATGGGCTTCATTGCCGGAGGGTTTATTCTTGGAGCTGTGCAGAATCCTATACTCTTAATCGTGGTTATTGTTCTATTTGCTATTGTTGCAGCTCTATTCATATGGAACTCTTGGTGGGGAAAAAGAGCTATCATCGGTTTCATTGCTCAATATCCAGATGCTGAATTAAGAACTGCAAGAAATGGGCAATATGTCAAGGTTTCTGGGGTAAGTGCTTTCGCCACACAATAATGAGAAATTCAATTAGTTGAGTGGCACTATGTTAGCTTTTGTGTCCCAAACTAAGGTGGAGAAAATTTGTAAATGATAATGGAGATCTGCACTATGAAGCATTTTAAGAGTCCCACATTGAAAAAATAAGAGAGAACATATGGGTTTATAAGGCCATGGGTTAGACTAGCTAATTGATTGGATTCAGTCTTTTAGTGTGGTTTGACCTATTTGCATTATAGTCCAATTGAGTAACCCTGACCCAATCTTAGATTATAACAAAACAAATATATTTTATATTTGATTGCCTAGTGTGGAAATCTGCATCATGTGACACTATGTCGGCTCGTCCCAAATCTTAGGTGTATATATAGACCATGGAATGTATTTTCTAATTGTTGCCTTAATTGGAGCGTATAAGTGTGCAGTACGATGACTCAGTCATGGTGCATTGTCTTTTGAAAGGTGGCTCGTGGACCCATTTCCTTCCACTTTTGTGATAAAATTGGTAGTATGAATATTTTAAGATTTAGTTAAAGTGACATACTTAAACGTCTCTTTTAATTTATTTTACTTTTTTTTTTTTTTTACAAGTTGTACTTTTCCAGCAGCTTGTTTGAATTTTCTTAGTTAATGTCCATTTTAAAGTTGTGGCTTGTTATATTTGTAAAGGTGGTAACTTGCGGAAATGTGCCTCTCGAATCATCTTTCCAGAAGGTTCCTAGGTGTGTGTATACATCTACGAGTTTATACGAGTATCGAGGTTGGGATTCAAAACCTGCAAATCCTACACATCGTCGCTTTACATGGGGGATTAGATCATCAGAAGTGAGTTGCTACATAACTCTCAGCTAATATATTTAAATCTCGAGCAGCCTGCTATATTATTATAAAAAAAAAAAAGATATTAACTCTTTCATTGTTCGGAGACTTGAGAGCTAAAGATTTTTTGTCCATATATATTTTTCCAGAAGCATGTGGTCGATTTCTACATCTCTGATTTCCAGTCTGGATTGAGGGCGTTGGTTAAGACCGGCAGTGGGGCAAAAACCACTGCTTATGTGGAGGAGTCTGTGGTTGTTGATGTCAATCCTTCGAATAAGGACTCATCTCCGGAATTTACTAGGTGGTTGGGGGAGAGGAATCTCTCGAGTGATGATCGTGTAATGCGATTGAAGGAAGGGTATAGTTTTTTTCCTCTTCTTCTTTGAATAAGAGAAGTTTAGAATATAGTTTGCAGTGGAATTTGCCGTTTCTATTCCTTATGGCTGTTTCCCAATTGTTCTTTATTGCCCTTTCGGCAGGTACATCAAAGAAGGAAGCACGGTGAGTGTAATGGGAGTGGTACAAAGGAACGAGAACGTCCTTATGATTGTCCCTCCTCCCGAACCATTCACGACGGGATGCCAGTGGATGAAATGCATTTTCCCCGCTAGCCTTGAGGGCATCGTGTTGAGATATGAAGATGCATCAAGAACAGATGTCATTCCGGTTTGACAGACAGATAGCATGTGCATCGTAAAATTTTCTGGAGTTCATGCTAAAAATAGTTTGGTCGGTTGTGGTATAGATGGTGGTGGTGGTGGTGGTGGTGGTGGTGACAGTGGAAGTCATGATGCGTTTATATAGTTGATATCTAATTTTCTGTATAGTTAGTAGGTTTTTTTGTTCTTGGTTTTTGTTTTTGGTTTTTTGGGGGAAGGATTTTGTAATGGAGAGTGATTAAAAATGCTTGGGAATGCAAATGTGTTACATGTTTGAGCAGACTGTGATCATGTTGGTTCTTTTTGTATCATATGAGAAAATCTTTTGGTGTTTAGTGTCAAACTTTCAATTATTTTGGACTAATGCATCAAATTCACATCAGATCACTCAATTTTATGAGTGTCAATTAATATGAAAGAGTTATGATATAGCATATTCGTAATCTGAAGTTAAATATCCGAATAGATTTAGCATGCAAATATTGAAGAGGCGGGTAACAAAAAAATAAATTTGAAATCCGATCAGATTAACAAATAGGATATGGATATCCAATCCCTCCGAATCCGAGGTAAATTAAATGTGCACCGGGTAAATTAAATGTGCACCGGGTAAATTAAGTTCCAAGGCCAAGCATCTTGTACACAGATGATATTAGGATTGGACTTTCATATGAAAGATTGTGAGTTCGAGCCTCAGTTGAGGCGACTCTTTGTGCTTCAGTAGGTTGAGTAAGTAGTTATGAACAGATACTACATTGTAATAGAGTCAGTAGCATTCAAATAAAAAATAAAAAATCGTCTCAAGAGTGAAATATAAAAAATCGGTCCCAAGAGTGAAATATTGAGTTAAAGTACCTATGAAGTCCCTGTACTATATTGTTTTGTTCAATTTAGTCCTTGTACATTTATTCTGTTTAATTTAGTCCCTCTACTTTAAAAAGTGATAAAACTAAGGACAATTGTTCAAATCTCATTACGAACATGGTCGTAATTATTTATTTTGGACATACTAATTTAATATATTGGTGGTAAAAATAAATTTTTTAAAATATTTATAAAGTAATATATGAGTAGGAATATAAATATCATCAGCGTCACGTAACCTAAGTTAACAATAATATTAACATTGCTAACTATTGTCCTTAATTGCACCATTTTTAAAAGTACAAGGACTAAATTGAACAAAATAAAAGTATAAGGACTAAATTGAACAAAACGCTATAGTACAGGGATCTCGTAGGTACTTTAACCTTAATATTGTGGTTACCAAATTAATAATAAGATTTAATGGTGTGCACGAGGTAAATTCACTAAGTTAAACAACCTAAGTCATCAATAGTTGATCAAATCAAGCAGACTAGTAAGACACTCTTACTTTGAGTCAAAATTATATTTGTGTGATTGAAGAAAAAATAATCAAATAGAATTAAATGTTTTAAAAAATTGTATGATTACATTAAAAAGGGTAGATTTTAGGCGTAAAATATAGTGTGCACATACATAATCTTGTCCTTGAATGATTGCCTATCAACTCCCATCCCAAGTAGAAGTGAAGAACAACTCTTCTGTGTTATTTTGTTATGCAGTTGTGATTTCATACGCGCTCAAAGAATTTTGAAGGAAAGACAAGAAGCAGAAACTTTTGGAGGAATTTATGTTCAATACTCACATTTACATCTAAGATTATCGTAGCTGGGTAAATAATCAGTAGAGGCGAGGGCGAGCAGCTGATGAGATGAGATTGGGCGGCAGAGCAGGCGGAGCAGCTGCCGGAAAACCCAGAACAACTAAGTTGGTGTTTGTGTGCGTAGGGCTGTTGGGGGCGGCTCTCGTGGTAGATCTGCTGTGGGCTTCCTCTACTTCTTCCCCTTCCTCCGCCGCCTTCCGTGATTGGGCTGTTCCGGAATCCAGTAATGTCATCTTCCCAAATCAGACCAACAACCTCCCTAACCCTAAGGTTTCTTATTCAGACAAATCATTTCTTTTGTTCCCATTTTGTTTGTTTTTATTAGTTATTCAGATGAATATGTGCATTTTGCTCATTTTTCATGCTCATTCCTTTTAGATAAGCTTGTATTTTGCTGCATATTTGATGGTTTATCACTTGAAATTCTAATTGTTGTGATGCTTCTGGATCTGGTGGCTCAAAATTGGCATTCTTCATTGACAGGATTCAGCCAAGGAGGGTAAAAAAGATGGCACTAAAGAGAGGAAATTGTCTGCTACCTTTGCAGATTTGCCAGCTCCCGAGTTAAAGTGGGAGAAGATGGCTTTTGCACCCGTGCCTCGTCTTGATGGTGCAGCCATACAAATCAAGAACCTTCTTTTTGTCTTTGCTGGATATGGAACCATTGATTCTGTGAGGATACCAACTGCTTATTTTTCTGTTTTCTTGCAGCTGATCATATGCTTAGCCTTGTTGGTTTTGCTTATCTTCGTTTAGTGTTATTGTTTGGAGAAGTTGAGATGATAGTTGCCTTTTGTAATCCATCTTTAATCTACAAACAATTACTAAACCTGCCTGACTTGGACACTATTGAATTTATTAATCTTTACATAGAATTTCGAAATTGAAATACGATGACATGCCAAATGTAGGATTCTATGCCCGTGTGTTTTTAGCTGCTTTAGGGTGGCAAACTTCTGGTAATCAGAGTTTGGTTTGTCATGAGAACACATCAGAAATATCAAATGCAGGCATTTTTTTACTAGTTCTAATTAATTACGGTGTGTTACAACTTACAAAGCGACTTTCCAAAATTGATCTATTATTGCATTCTTGAACTCAGTCTCGGGAAAAAAGGTGATGGCCTCAGTGAATTCTTTCATGTAACAGGTTCATTCTCATGTTGATATATACAACTTCACAGATAACACGTGGGGAGGGAGGTTTGATATGCCCAAAGAAATGGCCCATTCACATTTGGGTATGGTAACAGATGGGAGATATATTTATGTTGTCACTGGACAATATGGTCCCCAGTGTAGAGGCCCTACAGCACACACGTTTGTGCTGGACACCAAGACAAAGCAATGGAAAGACATGCCTCCTCTGCCAGTCCCGAGGTAAGAAGATTTCTATCAAATTGTTACATGTAAGAATTCAAATTACATATATTTAAATTAATTGCAAAGAGATGTATGTATCATGAATATTGTCTTCCTCTGTTGAATAAGGTAACACCTCTTATAAATTCTATTACTCCTCTACCGACAGCTCTACTAGACTACTACAATTTCTGGTGTGAAATTTTTGGGATATTTTGTCTTCCATTCTAAGTTGATTCTCTCTTGAAAGCTTGCAAATGAAATGAAGGAATTTCATAGCAGTCATTTGCTATGTTGTTCATGCTCTAAGATCTTTTGATTTTTGTGTTTTTAAAACATAAAAGTTTGATGTTCCAAGGTCCTTTAGTATATTAAATATAAAATATGGTACGGTACAGTGTGGGCTCACTTGTAAATGTAGTAGTTTCAAAGTATGGTCTAAAACTAGATATTTCTGATTACCTGATTCATTTTTAATTTTGTATTATTATTATTATTTTTTAAAATTTTTGGGTACATGAGACATTTAGATTCTATATGAATATGAAGATTATTAAGAAATGAATTGCAGGTATGCACCTGCAACAACACTTTGGAGAGGCAGGCTTCACGTCATGGGTGGGAGTAAAGAAAACCGATATACTCCAGGATTAGAGCATTGGAGTATTGCAGTTAAAGATGGAAAAGTTTTAGAAACAGAGTGGAGGTCTGAGATTCCCATTCCTCGTGGTGGGCCCCATAGGTATTTTTAACTTTCTCATATTAGGAGTGACTCTAAAGTTCATGTATTTCTCTAGTGGATTTGCTATTGAGATGTTTTGTAATCAATCTTTTCACTTCCAAGATTTAAATTTCTTAAGAGATTTTTATCCTCAAGGATGGTCTCTTGCCTGCCCTCAAAAACCTCGTCTGGAGGGGCAAACGGAGGGTGTAGAGATATAATCTGGATCTACATACAGTCAAATGCATGAAAACTAATAGGAAGATTTTCCCGGAGTAATTTCCAGTACAGTGGGCAGTTGATAGTGATTTTAATTAAGTGCCTTCACACACTACACAAGGTTAGGCAATTTCTTTTGTACCAAAGTTAGTCTTTGGTCTTTCGAACTTTATGAAGTAGTTACTGCATTTAGATCTTGTAAGGACGTAAACTGCAAGAATGACTCCACTCTTAATATTGTCCAGAAAAGTGACAATGTTCAGGGATTATTTGTTATTTTGTTTGGCATTTCTTATATTATTGCCAGTGTTGCAAAAATCGCGCTTAGGCGCCGGCCAGCCACCTAGAGTATCACCATAATCGGTGGTCTAGGTGGCCGACTAGGCCGCCTAGGCACCGCCTAAGCCACCTAGGCGTCGACCGCCTAGCCACCGACTAGGCTGCCTAGTCAGGCGATTAGCTATTGTTCCTTTTTGTTTTTGTTTTTGTTTTTGTTTTTTTTTTTTTGTTTGTTTTTTAAATGGGTTATTTCACTCAAAACGACATCGTTTTGAGCGAAATAACTCTAAATCATTCAAACCTGAGATGTTTTTAAGGTTAATATTTAATATTTTAGTATTAACCATTAAAGTACTCCGTATTAAATAGTTTATAATTATCACTTAAAAAAATAAAAAAAAATTAAACAAATTTTTAAATAATAAAAAAAATACACGAGCGCCTAGCAATTTTTTCAACCATGATTATTGCAGACAATCTGCTACCAAGGCAATATTTTTAAGCCCCAGAAGCCTAGAAGACATCTATGTTTGACTTCATCATCTGACGAAATACAGAGTAATTTTTTGTAAATGGCATAGTATCCTATACTATCTTGCTGCTTACTGAGAGGCTGTCTGTCATGCAGGGCTTGTGTTGTGTTTGATGATCGACTTTATGTTATTGGTGGTCAAGAAGGTGATTTTATGGCCAAACCAGGATCACCCATTTTCAAATGCTCCCGTCGAAATGAGGTAATCTCACCAGTACATTAATAGTCTGATCGCATAGTCCTTAATTGTAAATGTTTTCCATCTTCATTCCAAGGATTCGTTCACTACTGCTGCTACTTCGGTTGAAGTGTTGAACCATGACTTAACTTTGTTATAGAAAATTGGTTTAGGATCAATCTTTCCCAATCCCCACACATCTTTCAAAATTTCTAGTGGACGATCGTGAGATGAAAGGATTTGTTTGCTTGATGCTCTTGGGATTGTTTATGACCACGTAAATTGGACTTTACAGGTTGTATATGATGATGTTTACATGCTAGATGATGATATGAAGTGGAAAGTGTTGCCTCCAATGCCCAAGCCAGATTCCCATATCGAGTTCGCCTGGACAATAGTTAACAGATCAATTTTTATTGTTGGAGGAACAACGGATAAGCACCCAGAAACCAAAAAGATGACACTTGTTGGAGAAGTGTTCAAGTTTCACTTTGATACACAGGTCTCCTCTTTATCCATTATGTGAATTGCAGAGGGTTCATACCATTTTACGTTTAACAACATAACTATAATCATTCTACAAAGACGTCTGAATGTCACCTTCCTGAATTTTTTATTTTATTTTTACTCGATCCATGCAGACCATGCCCGTCTTTTCTGTATTGGTTACGTTTTAAAACGAAGAGATCTTGGTCATCCGATTGGATCAAGGTCTCACTTTCTGAGGCAAATGGTCATCATCTAGCCAGAAAAGTGACATGTTAAACTCAAACGCCATGAAATACCTTTGGTTTTTTTTTTTTTTTTTTTTGGTTTCGTTTCTAACAATGATTTGTGACCATTACAGAAATGGGAGGTTGTTGGGAAACTTCCTTACCGTGTGAAAACCACTCTAGTCGGATTCTGGGATGGATGGTTATACTTTACATCAGGACAACGAGACAGAGGGCCTGATGATCCCGCACCAAAAAAGGTTATTGGAGAGATGTGGAGAACGAAGTTGAAGTTATGAACCTTTTCACATATTTCATTGCTAAATTTTGTGCCCCATTGATCAAATATGGCATGTACCAACACAATTGCCCCAGATTTGAGAGAGAATGGAGGGGATGAAAGAAATTGACAACAGCTGTATATTCATTTGTAATATTATTTGTGCCTACATTAACCATTTGAAGAAGAAATTAAATCAGTCCATTTTTTGTGAGCTTTTTTGTACCATTGAAACTGCCCCTTCTTGTAGACTTTGTTATCTTGATGCTAAATCAATCCTAGGTTCATGTCTGCATTGCAGGTCAATTTTACTGGATGCAAAAACCAAGAATGTATGATCAAATGATACTATGGACGACGTCGACCTTGCATTGTGGATCTTGATCCAAAATGATATTCAATATATCTATTACAATTAATGTCCCAATGCAAAGTGAATATTTTTTTTATTACAAGGGAAGGGGAGACCCAAACTACTAATCGATACCATTGGACCACAAAGTGCTTGGTATGCAAAGTGAATACTTATCCTAGCAAATTCGAGTTTGACATGCAAGAAGTTCTAGTTATAGGCCATTTAGTGATTTCCCACCAATTTAATTTCTCGAAGAAATAATTGCAGAATGTGTCTGCAAAAAAATAATTCATGTATGATGTTATATTCATTTTTGTCTAATCTTTCGAAAAAAATATTCATTTTTCTCATAACAAAAAATAACATAAGACAAAGCTAATAAAGATTTCTTTTTAGATTTAGCCCCGATATACTTTAAATATCTCATTCAATAATTTTTTTTTTTAAATCCAATCTGTACGAATCAATAGAAAAAAGAAAATCCTCTATAATACACCAAATCCGGCTCAATTATTGATGGAGTAAATAGATCTAGCATTTCTTGCAAACAACAAAAATCTCCTTTGAGTTACATTTTTCCAAATACCCAGATAAAGAATGTTTCATGATCTGTATTCACGGATTTAAGATTCTCTAGTGTCTAACAACATAAACCGATGATCGACTTTGTATAGTAGGATTTATAAAGTTGGGTTACATTCCCATAGGATGTACAAGAAAGAATTGTCCAAAACTCACTATACATCCCTTTCTTGTTCTTGAAACTATTATTTGGAATGTTTTGTTACTAATAAAACAGATTTATTACCATCAAAGTTTAATGGCCCGATTCTTGTTAGTTCTTATATTATCCCATATTGGATTGGATATAACAATTACTTGATAATTTCTAATGTCACAAGCTCCCCTGCAGATTTTCATTTCTGCAAATGATAAACTTTGCCTTTATCCATCAATTTCCACATCGCTTCTTTGGCTTCTTCAAGCGTTTCCACTGAATGGTCCGCTTCGAACGACATCCTCTGAATGTTGAACTGCAGCAGATCAGAGCTCGGGAAAGTTAGCGGGCGAATGTTAAGACCACACAAACAGACAATAAAAACGCGGAGCATAAGAATGTACCTGTGCTCCTTGGCGGACACGGATATCAGTCCCCTTACTGTCTATCGATATCAGAGCCACATCATCCACCTCGGCTTCTCGGGACAAAAGCTCTTTAAGTGGCTTTGAAAATACAGCGTTCAATTCCTGTAACAATAGAGAATGGAATATAGAATATATATTTGATATATAGAATCCCTATAGATTAGGCAGTCTTAGGGATTTAGGAAGGTATAGTATATGGAAACTTGTTTCCTATTCGTAGTCTTCTAGTACCTATTTATAGAGCTTTGTATTCTCTATTCCTATGACAGTTTGAGACAATATACGACAGCACATTAGAAACTCTCTCTCTTCACTTTCGTAACAACTGGCATATTCTTGATTCTAGAGAATGATAGATATACACGAACAATTACTCCGTACATCGTTTTAAACTTTTGGGCATTAACCATACCTTGAGGTATTGTTCACCCCCATGAACAGCAATTTTGTCGGGCTCAAGGGCCTCGTATTCCTTCACATCAACCCAAGCAACAGTTCCAAAACCTCCAATGAAGTATATATCACTGTTGAGAAGTATACAGTAAGTTATTCAAAGTAAAGTAAAAAAAGAAAACTGGGAACCATGAGCGCATATATGGCTTAAAATACTTTTCATAGGCAACTTAGCAAAAAGAAAAGAGGATTATAAACTCTGACCCGAGAACTGTAGAGATTGAATAGTTCAAGATCTTACCAAAGCAAAAGAGATGAGCTTTGGAAGCCTAATACTTGTCAATGCACTAAAATTCAGTATGAGCATTTTCTGGTTCCACGGTTTTCTATCTTTTTCAAGGATAAAAATAGTGACTTTTAAACATGTACGAACCTTATACTTTCCATCCGGAAGTAATAAAAGTTTGCCCACTGTTGTGAAGGACCTTGTTGATGCTTTGCTATGTACTGCTTATGAGCCCACTCCTAGGAAAGACGGAAAAGACAACTGTCAGCTTACACACATCCACACATGAGAATTTTTTTCTTACAATAAGTGACACAATCATCAGAAGAAATACTACAAAAAGATAGGAATAAACGGAGTTTATTCCACTTCTGGGTCATTTGATTATAGTGGCATTCCACTTTTGATCATTAACTTCAAAAAATGTTTCACTTTTAGTTAAAACTGTCCAAAGTGCCCTCAAATGCAGCGGAATGAATTAAGTTTTTACAAATTGTGGGCATTTAAAGATGTTTTGGACCAAAAGTAAACGTTTTCAAAGTCAGACTAAAAAGTGGAAAAAATCAAAGTTGATCAAAAGCAAAAATAACATCATAGTGAAGTGACCAAAAGTAGAATAAACTCATAATAATTACAACAACAAATAAGCTACTGCACAGTGCATAATCATATCTGGAACTCTGGAAGAAGACAATAATTTCAGGTATAAAAACTTTAATTACTATATAAAGAATAAAGACATCCACCTGTTGATCTTCGGGAAGAGGATAGATGTCGCCGAATATCGTTACTCTAGCATTTGACAAGCCAGTCCATCCAGGAACCTGAAATGCCAAACGATCAAACCAACAAGGGCAACACATAACATATAAATTCTAAGTCTTTTAATATCAAACTACTAACCTGCACAACCAATGTACATCTTGGTTCGCCTATCAAATTTCGGGTGTGTATAGCTAATGGTGATAATAAAAATATTGGATCTGCAGAAAGAAATTAAAGATCCATGTTAGAGAACTGCAGAGCATTGGAATAAGACATCTATGTTGGAATATCGATGTTCCATAAGTTCAAGTGACTTACGTCCCATAGGGTCAGTAGCAAAGTCTACAAGCGAACCAAATGGATAACCATCTCGTCTATGATGCATTTTGGACATCACTGTGCACAAATGAGCAAACCTGGCCTACAGAATTGCAAGATAGAGAAGAGAGTAAGAATCAAACTGCCCCAGATTATGCATTTCTTGCCTATCTATCTAATACTCATAGCAAGAAGCCAAGAACCTTACCTGCTCCATAAGATTGCGAACTGCTAATGCAGGTTTGTGTAGACCATGAGCCGAGGTTGCACTTTGCACGCCACCTGATATTGGAGCTCTGAAAAGCCCGGCTCTCGTACCTCCCCCTGCTGTGTTTCCGAGTGAGACTTGAGGAGGCAACATCACTTTCACTTTAGGCATTTCATTTAAATTTAATTCACTTGTTTGTTTCCCATCAGGATTACCCTTCAGAATACGAGAGAGTCCATCACAACAAAGCTGAAGTAGCCATTTGACATTTCCACTAAAATACTATATAATGAAAAACCATGTCATTGGAAGTATAAAAAACATCAGATTTTCAAACCTCCATTTATGTGGCTAATAATTTCTCACTGCCTGTAAGGATGTTTTAAACAATACATTACTAAAGTTCACATTTAGTTAATAAGAATAAGCAAACATGACTATGAAACAAGTACTTTAGTGTGCTTTTCATTTCCCCTCTAAAATGACAAAGAGGTAGGGAAGAGAAAACACATGAATTCTTCACTTATAGAACTTGAAGAACTTTATAACAATACCCATAACCTATACTTCAAAATCTAACAGTCTCATTGTCAAACAATTCATAAAAGCAATTCCAGAGTTAAGTTGGTAAGATAAGCATGTCCAAAGATGCAATCTTTATACTCACCCCAGAAAATTTCAGCAAGAATGGATGCATAAAAAGAATCAGAGGATTCAAACAAAGAACCAAAATCAACTAAAGCTCAATTAATTTATGAATGCGGCTACCTGTGGAGAAGAAAGCGCTCCTTCAGAAACCAACCCAACCCCACTTTCGGATTCGAGTTGATCATTTTTCTCTTCCCCTTCTTTTTCGTCGTCGCTCCCGCCGGCGGCGGAAAGCCCTTCACGAGCAAGCGCCGGAATTCTAGAAGCGGAGGAGTTGGCGATGGAGCAGGACATACTTAAACTTGACTTCAGATTCCCGCTATTACAAAAACCAACTGTTCTGGGAGATTGGAAGGGCGAATGAGTCTCCGCAAACCTCGGGACGAAATTGGAGCTGGAAATGGCATCCATGGAGGAAGAGAGAGAGAGTGAAGCCGCCATTTCTACCCTATACAATCTGTACAATAATATCTAGTATGTATGTGTATAAAAGTCTGGAATTAGAGAGAATAGGAATGATACTGGGAATACAAAGTTGATTGGGAAAGAGCATTATATAAATAGTGCGTATCATAAAGGCGAAAGCTTTTCGTGCTGCGGCAAAGCGAAGTTTTGCAAATTCCACTGCAGAGACACAGCCGTACAGGTTTTTGGAGAAAGGTGGTGTCACGCTGTCATGGTGCAACAATTTCTGTTTGGGCCACACGGAGCCCACAAAAGTACAGCCCAAACATTGTCAGCCCAATTCCAAAAAACACCCCCAAGGCCCCCCACTCCAACCCTACACGCAAATTATGCCCTGGAAACGTGTTCACCGTGAATGGTGAACATAAGTCCAACGTCGTTTTTAAGCAAAAAAAAAAAAAAAAAATCGCAGATGTGGAGTTAACGACGCGTGTTTGATCAAATTATGAATTTTCTGTTATGAGATTATGAATGTAATGTAAATTCATAATCTCATAACAGAAAATTCATAATCGCATAAAAGTAAAATATTTATTAAATTATGAATTTTCTGTTATGAGATTATGAACAGAAAATTCATAACCGCATAAAAGTAAAATATTTATTAAATTATGAATTTTCTGTTATGAGATTATGAATGTAACATAGATTCATAATTTCATAAC